TATTATATACATATTATATACATATAATGTTAATATATTTGCTTTCATATACGCGCGCGCGCGCGTGCGTGCGTGCGTGCGTTCTTGTGCATGTGCGTGTGCGTGTGTGTATGTGTGTGTGTGTGTGTGTGTGTGTGTGTGTATTTTATTTTCGTCTATGTTACTTATATAAGCAAGCAATAAATTCATTAATTAATTAAAAATTAATTACCTGATAAACAAACTCTGATATATTTTGAAGACTATCGTCAGCAGTTTCCCTTTCGCGAAAATGCACATAAACACGTTGCGATCCATCAAAAGATACTTCTATTTGCTTTTCTAGAATTCCTTGATGTTTGGCAAAAACTTCCTGAAATCTTTTGGCATACAAATATCCAGGCTGTTTCATTGGCCAACCTCTTAAATAAATTGTTTTCATAGGATCCAAAGAACCCAAGGTCATTGTAACATTTTCTTTATAAACTTCTCGATTTTGTAAACGTTTAATAAAATAATTGGGGTAGAAAGCTCCAGCAAGAATAATTTGAAGCACAAAATCACGATCTGCACCTAGAAATAGAATGGAAAAGTATAATTAAAAATAATTATAGAATAAAAGAATATAAGTAAAAATCAAATTTAATAAATGACTTAAAAAGAACTAAATGTTAAATCATTAAATTTACCTTGCCAGATGACTTTATTTACTCCTATACTCTCTTTAATTCCAAACCTCTGCAATCTAATGGTGATTTCGGTCACCAAAGCATCTAATTCACGCAAAGCTCTTGCCTGGAATCCATTTCTCTGGGCCCATTGTCTCTCGGCTTGATAAGAATTTATCCGCCGATTTGCTTTTTCATTCTGCCACATCTTGTAAACATTTAAAGTGGCAATGCAGTCACTATCAGAACCGTAGGCCCATTTTTTTCGAGTCGTATAAGAGGAAACAGTGGGATGACATTGCTCCAAAGAGAAGACATCTTTAATAGTCATGCTGGCTCCCAGAATAATAGCATCTCGTAGGACTCCGAAAACATGTCCCAATATAATCAATTTCGAAATTCGAATATCGAGCGGAAGAATCGCCATTACTCTGCCGAGATCGGTTAAACTTCCATCAAACATTTGAAAAGAGTTCCCTTCGTCTATCAAGGCTCCGACTTCTTTTAAACTCAAAATGGTATTTGCCAAATTGGAGAGAGTAGGTGGATCAAGAGAATGTGAAAGAAGAACACGTGGTTCATCGAGATCAAGGATTTTGGCTCGGAGGACAACATTGGCAAGTGGGGCACGAAGTATTTCTGGTACGCAGTAATCATCCAAAATATTCTGTAAATTTTATGAGAAAACGATTAATAAGTATTACACAGGAAAAATTTAATACATGAACTCTGATAAATTATACGCGTATATATCACTTGTAAATCTAAAAAAAAGTATATTACATGAGATATAAATAATATATACAATGAGATATAAATAAAATTATAGTAAAATCCTTTGTATTACTTGATAACTATTAAATTCTATTAAACATACAATTTAGAATTCTATTTATAAATTTGTCTTATACTTCAATAGTAGTGTAATATGCTTATATAATGTAACTTACATCATAAAATGCTTTTGGTATTAATCTATACACTCTGCCATCCATTACACGGCCCGTGCGACCAGCTCGTTGTATACAATTTGTTTTACTCGCCCAACATAGTTGCAAACTTTGATAATGAGTGGCAGGATCAAATGTCAGCAGTTTTGTAAGACAAAAATCTATCACTGTAAATTATACATATTAATTAATCACTTCCTTACACTTTATCAATAATCAAATACTATAAAATAACGTTCATTTATATTAGTTTATTATATATTTTTACATATTATTTATTTTATATTTTAATACTTTTATCTCTCTCTCTCTCTCTCTCTCTCTCTCTCTCTCTCTCTCTCTCTCTGTCCCCAATTAAACGGTTTCATTGTCTCAAGAATTATGATAACATATAATTCATAAAAAATGCATATTTACCATATTTTACATCTGGTACAGTAATACTGCTTTCAGCAATATTTGTGGAAAGTATAATGCGTCTATAACCTTCCAATGGTTTTTGAAAAACACGATGCTGCTCGTGATCGTCAGAAACTAATGAATGCAAAATCGTTAGATCCCATAATTTATTCTGATGATAAGTTGACGACAAGTAATTATATAATTCCTCAATTTCATAAATTCCTGGTAAAAATATGAGAACGGCATGTCTCTGAGGTAAATTTAAATCTTTTTCGTTATCATTTATATCAATTTCATCTAGAGCGTTGATAATAAGTGAGCAAAAATTGAGCATCTCTTGAGTGACTTTTGGTTCCATGACAGATACTTCTGGTATCTATAAAATACAAATTTATGAGACTTGTATTAATATATATTAATATATAATATTAATATATAATTTTCATTTAATACTAAAATAATAATATATCATATAAAATACACCAAATCATACATTATAAATAAGTATTTTTTATAATTTTATTTCGTAATCTGTACTCACATTTCCTAAATTCTTGATCTCATCCAAATAATATGTACGAAACTCAAAGTTTTTTTTCCGAGGAATCTTGAGAATTGGCGCCGGGATTAATTCATTTTCTACTATTGAAGAAAAATATTTCGCAAATTTTATTACATTAATTGTTGCTGACATGAGAATAACTTTGACTTGTCCAGAATTTGTTTGCAATAATCTTTTAACAACTAGTAGAAGAAAATCCAAATTTTGATCACGTTCATGAATTTCGTCTAATATAACATGAGTATAGTCTAACATGTGTTTATTGTGAATCAGATATTGAAGAAGAATTTCAGTGGTGCAATAAGTTAGACGGGTTTCGTGCGAGATTTCCTTTTGCATACCCACCTGATAGCCTACAAGGCTACCAAGACGCCAATTTCCTTCTTGACTCACTCTTTTGGCAATACTTATAGCAGCAATTCGTCTTGGTTGCGTAACTATATTAACATTGTAATTTTTTAAATAATTTTTATGTACATATATAATTTTTTATCATATGATATTAGTAAATAAAAGATAAACCTATAATATTGCAATTGAGTCTCTTCTTAATATTAGCATCAAGAATGAATTGTGGAATCTGAGTGGTCTTTCCACAGCCAGTTGGCCCTTGAATGATGACTACCGAATTCGTCTCAATTATTGAGATTATCTTATCCTTCATAGACAGAATAGATAAATCATTAGATTTTGGATTGTAAGTAAAACTGCATTCTTGATAGACTTTAGCCAGATCTTCTACATAAAGACTTTGCAGACTGTCTTCTAATTCTTCTGTCATATTTGCATTACATTTCTTTCTATTTTCATCTCTTTGATTCATGTACTAAAATGAATATAGAAACATAACAGAGATGACACAATTCCTCTTCTTATATTCTTTCAGGATAAACATCTTTTTAAGTACCTCAATTTATATTTATAATAATATACATATAAATAAATAAAATATATATAATTTTAAATACAAATTGGTTATAAAAAAATGATATGTGTGATGAATGATCCTTTTACCCTTAAATATTCCTCGGCTTCTACTTCTGTGCAATTTTTCACATAAGTTTCTTCCATGGATTGAATAGACATCAAATGATTGTCCTTTCCACTTGAGAAATACATAATTTTAAAAATTGGTTATTCTACAGGCTTATATTAATCAATAATCTGTATAAAATCTACAAAATCTACAAAAAATGATATTACAATAATACCATAATTAAACAATTAAACAATGTATTAAATTACTTGTGCAGAATTACAATATCGTTCAAAGAAAGAGTTATTATTATTACTCATACTATCGTTAAGTTTCATTAATTTAACTATCGATGAGAGAATAAGGCCTGATAAATCTTACATTCAATAGAAGTTTGCTTGGACAATGGACTACAAAACATCCTATTTACTGTAACCGACTAAATATTCCAAATACTTTATTAATCGCGATTCGCAATTGAATATAGGGGTACTTTCCAGTAGGGACAGTGTTTACACAATGAATTGTTTCATCCTTATTTAATGTAGGCAAACAACAGGGATATAATGGGCGAGTTCAAACGACAAAGCGGCTAGGCATGCTTTGAGCGATTGTATATGATTGGTTGTTATTTATAGATCCAATTAATTCAATCGCTCAATAAGCATGTCTAGCCGCTTTGTCGTATTGAGTTCGCCTAATAATGTATTGGCTGCACAATTCAGCAGACTCAACGATTGATGTATTCTTCCAGATCTAAAATGCTGATTGGATAATCTGAAAGAATACATCAATAATAGCGAGCGTTCACACAACTGTTCGTTGAATGCAGCCATTAGCCGCATTCAGTGGACAAAATAAGTCACTTGATAGAAATTGATGAATAACAAGTAGAAATTTTAATCATGTGACTTATTTTGATGCTGAAAATGAATGTCGAGTGTCAGAATGCAAAGGTATCTTTAAAAATTTATTTTGAGCTAAAGTTCCTAGGAAGCATGTTTTCCTATTGGATATTGAACAGAGCCATCTGATGATAAACACTAACACTATCAAGTCTAATGAAACCTAATCTATTCAAGATTCTTGAGATATCTCGAGTTTCGAGATACTCATCGACTGTCTCTGTCGCGGACCGGTTGTCAGCGGTGTGTTGGCATACGTTTATTAATATCATTATTCTAATTTAGAAAAATTATTTTTATACGTATCAAGATAATCACAATTGAAAAAGAATGACTGCTTTCGAAGGTATGCTATTTTTAACAAGTTACTTGTAACTTGTAAGTTTCAGCTTGTGTAAAATGTCAATTTAGTTATGTCTTTAATTTGCCTAACAATTGTTATATCATTTTAAATGAGATCTCTTTTATGTTTTTAGAAATGGGCGTTTTGCCGGAAATAGGCAAAGCAGTTGATGAAATGGAATGGACGTAAGTAAAGATGAGCTATTTCATAATGTAACTTTATGATTTAATTTAAAATATCATGTATCGAAGAAAAAAAGAAAAAACCTTACTTTTGCTTTAAAAGAATGCGAATTACAGACTACCAACAGATGTTCAAGCTGAAGCTATCCCATTGATTTTGGGTGGTGGCGATGTACTCATGGCCGCAGAAACTGGTAGTGGAAAAACTGGTGCTTTCTGTTTGCCTATTTTACAAATAGTTTGGGAGACCCTTAAAGATTTGGAATCTGGGAAAGGAGCTACTGGAGCTGTAGTTCAACAACGTGTGTATTTAATTTTGGCAAAAATATAAATTTGTAAAGTTTGTAAAGTTTGATAAAAAGTAATAGAAATAATTAAATATTAATTAAATATCTTATAGCAACGCATTGGGGTCTGAGTCTGTTTGATAGAGGACGAGCCATGGCAGTAACAACAGATGGTTTAAGATGTCAGAGTAGAGAACAAAAGGAATGGCATGGTTGCCGTGCAAATAAAGGAATATCGGGAAATGGCAAGTATTTTTTCGAAGCAACAGTCACTGACGAAGGTTTATGCCGAATAGGCTGGTCTACATCTCAGGTATTTTCATAAATTATACAATTATCTTATTATTCCAAATTATCTTATTATGAGAAATATTCATGGAGAAATGTTCTTGAAATAGGCTGCCTTAGATTTAGGAACAGACAAATTTGGTTATGGATTTGGTGGTACAGGAAAGAAATCAAATGCGAAACAATTTGATAACTATGGAGAGGCCTTTGGAATGCACGATGTGATTGGATGTTTTCTAGATTTGGTGAAAGGCGAAATAAAATTTACCAAGAATGGCATGGATTTGGGTGTCGCGTTTACATTAAATGCACAGCAAAAATCGCAAACTTACTATCCAGCTGTTGTATTGAAAAACGCCGAGATGGCCTTCAATTTTGGAGCACAACCGTTTAAGCATCCGCCTCCAAATGACTATGTGGCTGTGTCTTCGGCTTCAAAAGAATTTGTCAAGTTCAATATTGTTAATAGCAATCAGAGTTCGTCTAATGAAAGTGGTAAACCAAAAAATAATGCGCCTCAAGCGATCATTATAGAGCCTTCTCGCGAATTAGCTGAACAAACTTACAATCAAATTCAAAAGGTGAATGAGAATTTGAATAAACCATCTGTTATCGAGATTGTATATGTGATATAAAACTGATATTAAATAACTATTTCTCTCTCTTTCTCTTTCAGTTTAAGACGCACTTAAAGGATCCGACGATCAGAGAGTTACTTGTCATCGGTGGAATAAATGTAAAAGAGCAGATTGCTGTTTTGAATTCTGGCGTGGATATAGTAGTCGGGACTCCTGGACGATTAGAGGATCTCATACAAGGTGGTTATTTGTTGTTGACATACTGCAGGTAATTTATCATTTGACTGCAAAGAAATGACATTAGATCGGAGTAAATTAATTATTGAGGTAAATTAATATTTCAAGATTCTTTGTGCTTGATGAAGCTGATGGACTACTAAAACAGGGTTACACCGAACTTATCGATCGTCTACACAAACAAATTCCAAAAATTACATCGGATGGCAAAAGATTGCAAATGATTGTGTGTTCGGCGACATTACACGCATTTGAAGTGAAAAAGATGGCTGTAAGTGCCACGATGTATTTGCATCATTCATACGTAATATAAATTGTATAATGTATATACATCTAAATAAGCGAATATATAACGTATACTCGAATTTTGATTTTTGAACAGGAACGTTTGATGCATTTTCCGACTTGGGTAGATCTAAAAGGTGAAGATGCGGTGCCTGAGACTGTACATCATATCGTAGTGATGGTAGATCCCCAGAAGGATAAATCATGGCGTAACTGCAGGAATTACATAGAAACTGATGGCGTGCACGCAAGAGACGAGATGAATCGAACAAATGATATTGCCTGTTAGACACTTATCGTAATCGTTAGATAATAATTCTATTTCTCGCGCTATATAAAAATAACTGAGTGATGTTTGAATAATTACGCTCGTCCTATATAGGTACGTTGTCAGAGGGTGTAAAGATATTGAAGGGAGAGTACTGTATTCGTGCTATCAAAGAACATAAAATGGATCGGGCATTGATATTCTGTAGAACAAAACTCGATTGCGATAATCTCGAAAGATACCTGAAAAAATCCGGTGGACAACAGTTTTCGTGCGTGTGTTTACATGGAGACAGAAAGCCTGGAGAGCGTAAAGCTAATTTGGAGAAGTTCAAACGCAAGGAAGTAAAATTTTTGATTTGCACCGACGTAGCTGCTAGAGGATTGGATATCACTGGTTTACCTTTCAGTAAGTTATTCAGATCAAAATCATTCCGAAATAAAAACACATTACTATGGATTACATGTTTTTTTTTTTTAGTGATAAATGTGACGCTGCCCGACGAGAAGTCTAATTATGTGCATCGCATTGGAAGAGTTGGTAGAGCTGAGAGAATGGGTCTGGCTATTTCTTTGGTGAGTAGTGTTCCAGAAAAGGTATGGTATCACGGCGAATGGTGTCCTTCTCGCGGAAGAAACTGCAGCAACACCAATCTGACCGATCAAGGTGGCTGTTGCACATGGTACAATGAACCTCAAGTACGTCTACTTTTGATTCGAAACAAGACAATCCGTAAAATAATTGTGTACGTGTAAAACTCAATTAATACAGATGAAACATTAATACTTTCACAGTATTTGGCAGATATTGAGGATCACTTGAATGTAACGATTCAACAAGTCGGTCCAGACATAAGAGTGCCAATGAACGAATTTGATGGGAAAGTTACGTATGGCGAAAAAAGACTAACAATGGGTATGTAATATTGTTTCTCGTTATGTAATAAACAATTATTAAACGTTTGTGTACACCTCACAGGTTCTGATTACAAAGACCATGTGCAGCAAATGGCCCCTGTTGTGGCTGAATTGGCTGCGCTGGAATCCAGAGCGCAGCTTGCGTTTTTAAATATGCATATGGCGGAGTGTTAAAGTGAAGTTACTCAAAGATATTTAACGACTGAAATACTAATCGAGTCTCGCAATTCTAGTAATATAGAATTCTATTCCAACCTTAGAGGAATTAATTAATTAGTTGTTACTTTTAATTTAATATCTATTTAAAAATAATTTAAAAATGTATTCTATTTTTATCATTGCTATTATTCTTTATCTTTCTGTACTTCTACATTTCTAAAACTTTTTTCGCACTTGTAAAGTCATAGCGCATTGCACAATGAAAATATAAATGTAAAAAAATGAAATTGTTTTTCTGTCTTGTTTGATATATTAAAACGATGTGCGATATGTGCGTGTGTGTGTGTGTGTGTGTGTGTGTGTGTGTGTGTGTGTGTGTATGTGCGTGCGTGTGTGCGTGCGTGCGTGCGTGCGTGCGTGCGTGCGTGCATGCGCGCGCACATACATATGATATTCTAAAATTCACTTTCAAAATACTACAAGAAAGTTTTCGAAAAATTAAAATTAAATGAAAAAGTTATTTGTAAATTTTTATTTTGCGATATATACTTTTTTAAATATAACGATTTAAATGTGCTCAATTATAAAATGATAGTCATCTGTAAGGATCAGTGAGCGTTTACCTACATTCACTAATTCTATTGCACACGCAACTCATGGGCAAGCGGCCATCTAAATGTAGTCTGTAATTGATCATAATTAAATCTTTATTATCTCAAAATTGATGTTTAAAATAAAAATTTATAAATAACTTTTTTACTAAAATTTTCCGAGAATTCTTGCTAGAACATTTTGAGTCGTGAATTTTGAGACATCCTATATATGTGCCCTATAAAAATTGAACTTGACAGCCAACTTTGCCACAAAGGCACCTGTCATTTATGTAAGATGTACAGTAAGTATTTAATGTACTGTTATATCCTTAATAATTATACTTTCATTTTACATCATTTTAGTTACACAAATGTAGGGTACATTGGCTCTTCCTTTTTGCTTTTTTATAGTTCTGCATATGTACGTATGTG